AATGTGCAGTTAAATAACTTTGTGCAGAAGAAATTTTAATAATTTGATCTCTTGGTCTCTGGAAACTATGTCTTTTGCTGGATATAATTGCTTTTCTCCACATATGCATTTCCTTTATGATAAAATTTCTGATTAATCTGATCCTTTATTTTCCTTGAACATTATTTTAATAAAGTAAAATCTTTCTTCACTCATGGGAAACCATTTTGTGCTGAAGGGATGGCATACAGAACGTTACACTTTGAATGGTCAGGTCTAGGGGCCCTTTCCTAATGATCTGAAGCTGCTTATTCTGTCACTTTAAAACAAATCCTTTGTCAGCCCTGGGGGCCATCTTTTTCTTTGGATCTTCAGGGCTGACACATTTGGTGCTGTGGAAAACTGGAAGGGGAGATAGCCATAATAACATTACTTTCTCTGAGAGCCAAGGACATTTGGCCTACACCTGGACTGGTGTGACTGGGAGGCATCTTCAGTTGGGATGGTGCATTGATTGGACCATGTGATGGACATGTGGGTGCAGGGGAAGGGACTTGGGCTTTCTTTTGGGTGGAGAAAACCTGGAAGCTTTCAGATTTGGGTTTTTCCAGGTGTGCCAATATGACATCTCTAATAAAATGGAACTTTGAGGAACTTCTAGCCTTGGAATCTTCTTGCATTGGAGGTGTTACTTGGAACCCTGAAATCCTTAGTAAGACTCAGATGTGTGATCCGCAAAGTATCTTCTTTCTCAGGTGATATCTGGAAGAAGTTCATAATCTCTCCACTATAATTCACGTTGGAAACTATTAATTGGCACATGTCCTTTGATTTGAAGCTTCATTAAATAAATTTTATTAAGATTTTGAAGATGAGCACACCTTAAGTGAAAACTTAAAGAGGTCAAACCTTCCACAAATGCCCTTTGGATGTATGTTTAGGAATCAAGTCATACCCCATTTCTATGACTATACAGGAATAAAGAACAACAACAAACATTACCTGGTGAAAGAAAAAAAAATATTTTTGTTTTAGTTCAACAACAAACGTTTGTTGAATAGTTCATGTTTCAGAACTATTTGTGGAGACAAAACTAGAACAATCATCATCTTTTTTGCATTCCAAAAATGCAATTAAATTAAATCCCGTAAAATTTAAGAGGGATGAAACTATAATTCAACAAGAATTGGAAGACATTTATGTATCAATGCATGACTTTGTTATTTGAGGTGCTTTTAAAGGATATGTTCATGGTTGTATTATTGCTTATACTTCATAAAGAAAGAATAAATGAAAAACAAATACTCAGTTTTCATTGAATCGCATGAAACAGAGAGCCTGGGAAACCTTGTAAAACTATTACCATTTTGGTTCAAGCAATCACCATAGACATATCAGGTTCTGAAAAGGCATTATCCAAGAGGAATTGGACAGTTTGCTGAATTAGAAGCACTCAGGTAAAAGGTCTTACTTTTCTGCCAAACACATTATCCCTCTTAAATTTTACAAGATTTCCTTTAAAATCTCTGCTATAAGTCTTCGGTGACAAAGATGTATTTTGTTGCCAGTTTTTCTTACCTGTCCATTTAAACATCCAGTGATTTTAGGGAGGATGTAATGATTTTTTTTACCATAGGTTTTTTACTCATAAAGTGATTCTCAGTCAGGGGATAGGGGAGAAACCCTGCATATTTAACTGGAAAGATCTTTGTATTGCTTAATAAATACTGTCTTGAGGCAAAAATTACCCAAAGTGCCAAAGAATAGGAACTAGCTTACACACCAATCTGATTTTGTGACATTTCCCAGGGGTATCACTTCAAAGCAGAGCCCTTTCTTCTTTATTTTGTTTGGGCATTTGTTTTGAAAGAAAGTAAGACTAAGGGAACAAAGACCTCTGCCTTTAAAGTAGAGTCTTAGGCATGAGATCGACTCATTCTGTAAGAGGGTAGCCTTCAGAGCAGCATATAAACCCAGAGGTCGGTTGAGGTCCACAGTTGAACTCACAAAGTTTATGTCCAGGTCAAATCCATCAGACTTCCTCAGATTTATACCCTAGGTAAAAAGTACTGTTATTTTAGTTTGTTTTTGTGGGATGCCTAGATCTTTTTTAAAAATAAGGTTTTTAAATATCCTTATAGAAGTACATAGAAAATTATGGTAAAAAAGCTCCCATTTCAGAATCTGAAACTTTTTTGCATTTGAACATTAATCAAACTCATTAGATATAATGTGGTTTTTCTGGGGTGTGATTTAC